ACACACACACACACATACACACACACACACACACACACACATATATATAAATGTATATATATATATATATATATGTCACGCACACGCACAAACTCTACTAACGGAAAATATGAAAGCATACATAAACATTTATATACATCCATATACATGTGTGCGCATTTTTAAATACGATTATATATCCAAACATACGTAAACCTCTTTATACATCCATACGACTGTATTTACTTCAATACATATATACATATATGTATATACAAATATATATATCCATACACATGTTACAGAGTCTGATATTACCTCTTATTCTCGACATTCTTCTCCACAGTCTCTCGTAGGCAACTAATCAGCGCCTTCATCTCACTCGTGGGCGCAAGTTTACTTTCCCCACACACACGAATCATGTGCTGTCTGTTTATGTAATTCAGCTTGTCCTCGTCCACGATTGAGCCGCTCCTGTTGACACCATCGAAGGAAAACTGGTGACGTTTGGCAGGTGTAAGGGACATGTACACATGTCAATGTGCAACAAAGAAAACTTGTCAATATGTGTAGTGTCTTTTATTGGAGGGTTGTATGAATGTACAGTCCCACGGATAGAATCGCACATGCAACAGATACGCATCATGTATAAGCTCATAAAAGTAACCTAGATGGACATATAACTATACCTCGTGACTTAGATCATCCAAGCTCCATATTTCCATTTCCGAGTCTTGCGGAGCCCAACCCAGCATGGAAACAAAATGACACAGAGCGGCAGGTAGATAGCCTTTCTCCTGTACCACAGCAAGACCAATGAGATATAGGATCAAATGTGTGGATATCAATGCAATACATATGTATATGCTGAGGCCAATTTAGCACTTACAGTGCTATTATGCTAGCGACGTGATACATTTCTGCGCCCGAGCTTTCAAGGATCCCGTTTTGGAATCGAGAGTATTGAAACACAGAGGATGCGAGGAAAAGCGACTACAAAATAGACGCCGCACAAAACATTCACGACATATATTTGTGAGACAACCTACAACAAAGTCACAATTCCGGTGCGACATAGCTCGATCGGAAAGACTATGAATAAAGCACGGGTTGTCGTATTTAGTGAAATTTGACATGAACTTCGGCACTAAGCAGCAATATGTACAGCTATTGCAGTGCCAAATGAACCCCTACAGTTGGAGTGTCGCCATACCTTGTAATACTCCACAAAGGCATCGTTATGTCTCTTGCTGAGCTTGGTCCTGTCAGCCTTCAGCAGCAGCGGCAGATGGGCAAACACTGGGGCGGGCACACCAATCATATCGTAGAGAATCAAATGCTTCGGCGTTGACGCGAGCCATTCCTGTACAGCGAATCATACACCAACAGCTGTTACAAATATACACGATGGAAATATTGGAAAAAGAACTTGTATTAAAATGTTTTAAATACGAATAAAAACCAATGTATTATCTCATTTGATCTTGATATTCTAGACTGACCGGAGGCCGTACTGCTACATAGGACACACTGTAGGCATCCATGATAGTTTGGAGTTGTAGAGACGGCAAAGGTATGCATGGCATGAGATACGGTTCAAATACGCATAGCACGTAGAAATGGCCAAGACTATCATGGGTGGTATAGCACCTGCGTAGTACTCACCTCACCTCTAAGCACATGGCTGATCTTCATGAGCGTGTCGTCAACTACTACTGCCAGATGGTATGTGGGGTATCCGTCGACTTTGACAAGCACTTGATCATCGATGTTACTGTGGTAGAGGCGAGTTGGACGTATATCTTCACATATGTACGACATTACGTATATGGTTGCATAGGTAAGCTTTGGACTTATTGGTCGCAGTTGAGATACTAATTGGCCTCAACTGCAACCTGATGAACGAGAATACCGTGATAACAGGAATCTATGCAAACGTATTCACAAGCATCTGAGCGTGCACATGTGTATACATAGTACGTAATACTCATCGTCGACCCCCTTCATTCATCCCGCGGTCTATATAGCAGCTTGTGCAATTCACCGATGATTGATACGGAACACCAAGAAGACGCCGTGCGGCTATATTTTCGAAATCAGTAGCTTATTCACTCCACTACAACGATTTTTTCGGTACATAAAAAACGTAGAATAATAAATACAACAACGAAGGGTTTTAGGAAGTATATGTGCATGATCAATTAAGCGTGTCTGAATCAGAAACATCTGGTCTCAATTAAGTTTTTATAAGTAAAAGTAACTGGTCACAGTTAGCTAAGCACTGCATAAGTATCTGAACACGATTAATGAAGCATTCCTAAAGTAGAAGCATCTGTACACAACTACTAGATAAATATTTGTACACTGACTAATTAAGCATCTTGAAAGTAAAGTATCTGGACGCAATTAACTACATACAATCTTGAATAACTCTCCCACTGCCATATATGAAGACACATACAGAGTCTGTGTCTCTGTGTACTTACGCATTCTCAAAGTGGACGTCGCCGTACACCGCATCAGAAACTACTGTGTGACCTTCCGGTACCTTCATCCGGATGACATGAGGCGCGCCTGACTCGAGCAACTCGGCCTTTATTTTGTCTGAGGAATGCGTGAATACGACCGTGAATGAGAACGTCTCTTTAAAATATCTTCTGCAGTTGAAGACATTCCAGATGCCGTGTTCAAGACATTTGTGATTACTTGCTTGTGTGGTGCATAACATCCCCAAACCATCTGTACAGTCCAGAGAAAGTATTCTATGCAGTTGTTGAGGTACAGAAACACACTGTAGCAGATCCTTACCCGGGAGGTGCAGGCATTTCCTATTATACATCGCACGCCCCTTTGATTCGCTCTGGATTTTGCGTTGTATCTCCAGTTCATCGGCGGAACAGTAGCAGCGATACGCATGTCCTGCCTAGATGTACACAGCCAGAATAACGGGAGAGCAAGGTTTAATGGCAAGTGTCTGGCCCGTTGTTTAGTTTTAAATACAAAACCTCGTGCGGGGGTACATCGTATTGGTTTGTCCCTTGTCACTACACGGGGGAACGACAATACCAAAGGTATTCAACTGTCCGTGGACTAAGCACTGGTGTTGATCTGACTTGTTGTGCCTTTTCAGCTATAGACGAAATAACTATGGCTGGAAAACGGGACAACCAATACACACAACACAGCACCAAGCACAGGCATTGCAGTAGGTAGGTCAGGCTTAATAAATTGCTCGACTGCAGATAGAGCAGCCCAGTTGTGTCGTTGAATTGTATCGAAATAGTCACGAACACGGGACACAGCTAACTTTGATACTCATTTGCCAATACAACGACAAATTCGCACTTAGACATGAGCCTGATAGATGCATACGATACGTAGACAACGCCACGACCAAGGGTATCATATAGTACTAAGCCTATGTCACGAGAGCTGCTATAACCATCGTATGATTCTACAGCCGACACCATTCACCCGATTCATATGTGACTCTGCTCACTCCGTTTAACCTCAAATATATATGCACGGCAATTCACCATGATAGTTGACATATGGGTACATCCCAACAATCAACACACCTCCATTAACCGTGTTGCATATTTCGTGTATATGCCCAGTCGCTCAGACTGCACGTAAGGGCCGAAGTCTCCACCCTTGGCAGGACCTGTAGTCAACACATACAACATTGGATGGGGTGGCTAATGAGAGCTTCAGATCGTATTGGTACTGTTTGTCACATAGACGTCCTAGTACAACCTATTGCCGCATCAGCTACTGATTAACAATGTTGCACTCGTGAAGAACATGCACACAAACTCAGACACAGTGCACGTACGTAAAGGAATGATTTCAGCATGACTAGACATTGCAATGATTTTAGTAAGACTATACGTAGTAATAATTTCAAAATGACTATATGTAGTACTACCCGATGGTATACACTTGTGTAGTACCAAACGGTATTCTCACGTAGTCCATTTCGTCTACGACATGGGTACAGTTTCTGCTCGAGACCTCTATCGCGACTGTAAAAGGTATAGCTTAAGCGATTGATTGTTTAGTATGTGTGTATGCGTGTGCAATAAAATGTCATCGTGCATGAGCGTGTCACGAAAAGTGCAGTATTTGTACGTATTCGGTGCTATAAAACACTCTACTGCCGCGTGTACATCCGTACAAGTACACTCAGTTTGCACACGGGGATGTAGACCTCACAAACAAACTCTCAATCTGATAGCTTGCCTCGTGATCGATGGATGTATTCCACGCATCACCCATTAATCAGATCGCGAATAAACTTGCATAAAAATCGTTTGAGCCCAGTTTCATACGTAGGTGATCCATAATATATACAGTGGACGAACGTCTCAGCGAGCGCATGAGATGAATAGCTCCTTGAAGTGAGAGATTGCCAGTATACTGTCTACTTGAAAGCTGTTTGAAGGAACATGTATATAGATGCACATACGCAACATCGTAGCAAGCGGCAGCGCACAGTACATGGCCGCAGTCATCTCTATCGATGACCAATAGGATTGATATACAATAGGATACTTACGTTTATATGTATTTATAAGTAAATCCACAAGCAATCAACCCTGGTGACCATAGACTTTCTATATATATATATATATATACTGACATACATAGAGTGTAAGTCGCTGAAACTTACTTTCGTCAAATTCTATCCCGGCCCAGTTCAAGGTGGTCTCCAGCTGTTTCTCCGCTTGTTCATTATAGCGAGTCTGATAAAAAGAGTAATCGATGGTATATGTTATACTCTATCGGCGATACTTCCAAATCATTTCTGATATGTAAAAGTGCTTGTAGAGATTGATATATACACCCGCAGTTGCTAAATATCCAAACACACATATGCTACGTCAGTACGGATGAGAGAGAGTATACACCCAGGTCTCTGCATTCGTTCCTGATGAAATATCAGAAGTAGAGTTGGCTTAAAAGCATGGCACGGAAACGCGGAAACCAAATGTAACTATCCGACTGTATTTGTTGTATATGCCTTGAAGATCCAAGCGACCACAAGCGCCCAATCAAATGCAGATAACACTTTAGGCGTCACACGTGTATATATTTATGTATTCACTTTTCATGTGTAGGTAAGCAATTGCCGGTTTTAGAACATCTCGACAATTTGTGGTGCCCATGCATACCGTTACAGCAATCTTGTAAAAATATAAACATCCAACATGTGCTCACAAACATAGATGTTTGAGCGACCGTGTGTGTACGTAGGCGTAAATATAAATATTCAGATGCTTACATAGATGCTAACATTCTTGAAAACGTAGACAATGCCAAACATACTTTAAAAGATGAAATAGTTATTACACATGCATACTTGTCTGAAGGATATTTCTACTGACGCAGGACTATATCATGTTGCCTGATAGTACGAGTGCTGCATGCAAATACATGCAACTTACAAAGTTCAAGTACACTTATAACTGTATACAAACATTACCTATACACATACAGCAATGATGAACAGCATCAACTTGCAATATTGAATAGATATTCATGGCTGATTGTTTCTCTGAAAACCAATAGATATACTAATAATTTACACATGTTAGTATACTTTTGCGCACCAACCACCTCATTGATCAATTCAATCTATAATGATATAATGTTTGAAAACTACATTAACTAACACAATTAATATGTGAAGAATCACGTTTGTAAGACTGCTACGATCGAATCGTATCGGGAATCATCCTGACGACAAAGAGTCGTTGAGAGTAATATGAGACTAACACGCAACAAAATCGCACACATCGTCAATTACAAACTGAATGGCTGCTAACATGTAAAGGCAAACCCGCAAAGCAATAAAACGCCCCGATGCAACTATCAACCGATCCGCCATATATTTAAGATTTCAAGACCACCTCTATATTGCCATCGCAATTCAGGTCGATTCTACACAGGAACAACATGACTCACCCTATCTGTGTCTTCGAGTCGCATGATAACCTTGCCACCGTGCCTCTTGGCGAGAAAGAGGTTGAACAGCGCTGTACGCAGGCCGCCTAAATGCATATGACCGGTGGGACTCGGAGCATACCTAACTCGTACATTGCTCTATATAAAGAGACGGGTGATAATATAAGCTATAATGTAAATTATGCAGTGAAGTGATTGTGACTGTATACGGACATATATATACATATACATATACATACATAAATATATAAATATACGTATGTACATATATATATA